TGACTAGAATATTGACTTTGAAAAATCGGGTTTCCAAACCCCAAAAAACTGCACTGGATGCCTTTAAGGGCCATACTGGCTCAGAAGAGGACTAGGTATTAAGTAAGAGGCAATATATTTCAATACCATACAGATACTCTAGACGCTACACATGCCAGACTTAGAGTGCTACTATCATCTCTCGAGATAGAGGGATGCCTATATACTACTTCGTTCTGAAATTGCATTGGATGGATGCTTTTAAAAGAGGCAGATGCTGAGACAAGCATCTGTCTGGCAGAAGAAGTAGTTGTCAAGAAGATACGACAGAACATCATCATGATTTATGATCACACTAAACATGGAACTACAATGTAGACCTTGTCTGTTGTATATACATTAATCATCCAGCCTTTTGTGATTTTGTGATACACCAGGATAATGATTGTGGTACTATCTACACTACAGCAACATATCTATGGCATCAACAATTTCCTCTCTGTTTGAGGCAGTTCTCGAATGTGAACGAGACTAGCAGGACAAGGCTACACTCACTCATTCATTCACTCACTCACTCACTCACTTACTCATTTCTTCATTCACTCATTCACTCACTTATTCTCATTCACTCACTCTCACTCATTCACTCATTCCTTCACTCACTATTTTACTCATTCACTCACTCATTGATCCACTCACTCACTCACTCATTCATTCACTCACTTCTTCACTCGCAGAACAAGTCCCAAGTTAGTCCTTTATTCCAATACTCAATTATCAGCCCAGGATCCTACAAGTAACCGCGTTTTCCGTCACAATTTTCGGCATACATTTTTGCACCTTGAAGGTCAATACACATTGTGATAGTGTTGTTTCAACTTTAAGTTAGTAAATTTAAGGTAACTAGAATATCGATTTTAAATATCTGATTTCAAGCCCTAAAATCTGCATTGAGCACATTTAATTCAGCAGATGATACAGCAATGTTTGGTGTGCCTGTGAAACTATATATGCCGCGTGTTCATGATCGTGACTCGAAGTAACAGAGTGCTGGTCTGCCTCGGTCAGAGCTCGAGGGAAATGAATGCTGGGGGCCTTCCCTGTACCGGCACGTCCATTTGTCAGGACCCGGCCATCGCGCCTGGGCTGCCGGGGGGATATTTGTCACGGCCGTGCACGACGGGGGCGGCGGTACAATGTCCATCTTTCTTCCAATGATTGTTAAAGTTCATACCTATCCCATACTATGTACTAGCCACCCACTTTTGTATTAGGTTAAGCCTTATGAAAATGTAGTTCATATGTATAAGGGCGCCACAGGCTCCCTACATTTCCCTTGTCCAGCCATGTGACCTGGGTGACCTTTGACACCTAGGTCACGTGACCCCTCTTATGAGCTGAATTTTTGTCGTGAGTCAGTACTAGTTTAACTCCTTCTTTCTTTCAATGCCATACTTCGTACCCTGTACAACTGTTGTGCAATAAAGTTATCTGTAATTAATTTCAAGTTATTTCATTTATTTATTTTACTAGGAAATACACACTCAGGGCAAAACACATCAAATCAACTTCAACAGCATCTAAAAACAGACTGTAAAGGGACTGGAACTGGAGACGGATTGGACAAGGTTCGTATACTTTGATCACTTTGGTTCTATACGTCTGTACGTGTAACGTTATTTGTGTATAATTTTGTTGTTGTTTCAAATACTTTATGTCTAAATTTGTGTGTCCAGGGATATCTGAAAACAGATCCGTAGATATACGGATCTATAAATATACTCTGGATAACTAAATAAACTCGAACCACTGTTTTTCAAGAGTTCCTACTAGATACGCTAACATTAAAATACACGACTCATAAACAAATAAATATCAATACTATTAGAAACAATTAGAAACAACAATACTATTAGAAACAACAATTACAGATTGACTAAATAACTAATACATATAGGGCAGACACCACATTTGCGTTGCGCAGTAGTTCCTAGTTAATACATTTGAACATCCTTTTTTTCTCTTCAAAGTTTTGGTCCATTTTGGACATTTTTGGGCTGGAAGACACAGGTAGGGTCTAAACTTTCCTACTTTGGTCAAGTTTTGTTTATTTCACCAGTTTAGTGGACGTAATGAGAGATGCATGTGAGTGGTTAGGTCTTGTCTGGCCAGGCGGATGGATACCATGGAAAATCAGGTCAAAGTTGAGGTTTTGTTACTATCATCAGCTGTGGCGGGAGTTTGAGCTGGTCGACCCCCTGTTTCCTTTCTATATTTGGGAATCAGACCCTTGTGGCTACCTGGTGCAGAAAAATTTTTTTGAGATTGAAGTATGGACAAGTACTTTCATGAGGACTTCTAATAGTGTGTTTAAGCATGTGTTCCTATGGACAAATCTAATAGTACTGTCTGCCCTGAAGGTAGCTTACATCATTCTTTTTCCGTGGTGCCTGCCAGTCTACTTGTGCATTCTGTTACTGTACTGCATTGTCTTTGTTCAGCAGTCAGTTTATTCCATGACTAGCCGACTGTGGGTTTAGAAGACTGCTGACGAAACTTGCCGCCAGCCAGACGACAACTCGAAGAAACATTTGTTTTGTATGAGTGAGGACATTTGCGTCCTTATCTTAAGGTCAGAGAGATCAACCGAGACAGCATTGGCAAGTTGTCACAAGTCTCACAACTATCTCGACAGAACTAGCTTCTGTTAACCCCTTCTATTGGCAACCCTTGCAAAATGCTGATTAAATTCAATACAAGCAGATAGTAAGGATAAGCCATGTTGAAATAATAGACACCAGGTCTATTCAGCGTTCAGAAAGAAGCGCAGTCTCTTGGAGATAAAGAAAATTCAAAATGGCGCCGTTGTATGATCGGGACCATCATGCAACGCGCGGCGTAATGGCTCCAGGCGCTTCCATCCTGAAGATAGCGTCTAACACAAATTGAATTCCTCCTGTATAGGATAACAATTGATTACCCCAGCTCTTCTGCTGGTGTACGTGTTGCATATAGAATTACTTTTTTTAATTCCATTTACTTCGCCCTGGCTTCCTTGTGCCTTAAGATAAGGTGTGCAAATAAATACATTAAAGAACGGCTCACAGGGTCGATGACAAGTTATAAAGAACTGTTAAATACATGCAGAGAGATCGATCATAGATTACTCTTTCTTCTGGATACATTGAGTGTATCGGGGATATTGAGGAACGGTGAGTGATGTTGACACAGTTTCAGGACGCCGGTAGGTAATGCCTGCACGTAAATGCCAGCGAGAAATACCACCGAATCAGGTCCGCTCGCCAGGGCAGGCGTGCAGTCGTCAATCACGGTGATTTAGCAATAGCCCGAAGGTGGCGTATATCGAAAAATAATTGCGCACCGGAATAATGAATTAAGCGGTCCGAAATTAGAGCTTGTAGCGGGATGACCCCTTTTTATGCGTGAAAGACATTAGACGCACAACTGCCTGAAGTATATGGCAAAGCGTAAAGTAACTGGGTGATTTCTTGGAGGGAAGGTTTAGACCCCAGATCAATCTGTCGTCGGAGGAAGCAATTAAAGCGCTGTCGGTGACTTCCTCTCGGCTGCTGAAGGCCCCCTGGTGCGGGATTAGCTAGCCTTATCGTCTCTACTTGCGCGTCCGACTAATTACTTTGGGACACGTTGCGAAGCTCCACATTATTCATACTCTCTGACGCCATCTTGAATTGAAAGACCGTTTCCCGAGTGACAGCCGGGGGAGGGTCCGCATGTCGTTTTCCGTGAGGCGTAGTGAGCCGTTTTAATTCGACGTCACGCGTTGTCGAGAAATTCTTCGTGAAGCGTAATTGGTTGCTTTAATTCTACCGTACGTAGAACGTTATTTGTTATCTTGAATTCATCGTTTATCATTATTTGAAAATTACTATTTGTATCAGCATATCGCATATTGCCTACAAATCAGACTAGTTTTAAAGACACTCTATTGATGCAAAAGAAAATTACACATAAAAGAGCAACTTAATTTGCCCGCCTGTCTGCATTTACCATTAAGAGTTATGGGCAGTCATAAATTTACAGTTAAGCGTTGGCAGGACCCCCATATAGACCCTCCTGGAGACCCACAGGATGTGTAGACTATTCATCTAACATGACAGTACCGTACCCGTCCCAGTTGCTTCATACCGCGAACTGTCTACACTCGAATGATCTCCATTTTCCCGACATGACAGATATGGGTTCAGTCTCAAAGGGAGTCGGAGATGAGTTCTCGGCTTCCCATTAATTCCGGGAATATTTTCCGGGAAGGTAAAAGAAAAACTCATTAAAATTCAATGTCTGCACAACTCGTCCTAATTTCTGTTCGTCAATAAGCATAATAATGAGGAGAGGGGAAAATGCGTCATCAACAGGGGACAAGGTCGTGGAAGTACTTCTGCAGGAGCCTTGCGTGCTTGCCAAGTTGTTATATTCGGTCCCAGATATATTCTGCGGCGGAATCACGCGTCAATTTCTCGACTGGAGTATGACGCTGACATTATATGCACCGTCAGGTATCAGTCAATAGCCATCATGAAATGCTGCGTGGTTCCAGACGGCGCGCAACCCTCGCCATATAACTCTATCACGACACACGGGTATGCAAATCAGCCAAGGTGACTGACTCACCTTCGAAAGCCCACAAGCATGCAAATCAGCTAAGGTGACTGACTCGCCCGAATGCGCACAAGTATGCAAATCAGCTAAGGTGACTGACTCCCCTGAAAGCCCACAAGTATGCAAATCAGCTAAGGTGACTGACTCACCTGAATGCGCACGGGTATGCAAATTAAAGGTGACTGACTCACCTGAATGCACAGGAGTATGCAAATCAGCTAAGGTGAATGACTCACCTTAAAGTTCACAAGTATGCAAATCAGCTAAGGTGACTGACTCGCCTGAATGCGCACGAGTATGCAAATTAGAAAAGGATCAGCTACAGTGACTGACTCGCCCGTATGCGCACGGATATGCAAATTAGCAAAGGGTGACCGACTCACCTGAATACTCCAGATCGAACTGAGTGAATGTCAACATGATGACCCGCTCCGGACGGACTTGAATGTTCCACTCGCACATAGCGGAGTTATCGTACGGAGTGAGGGGGAAGCCCATGGACTGTATACTCCCACAGTCTCCCGTCAGGGTTCTGTTACTGTTGCACCCGGACGAGCCAAACCCCTTTGGTTCACAACCTGCAGATCAATAGAGAACAGTTTGTTGTATATTATAAGTTTATTGCAAATACCTACAGGTACAAACAACATGTATATATCATTTATACTATCTTAATAGCTAAACTGTTCTCTTGTTACCTGGACGATACCCATGTTTTGTGATGTAATTTTTATTTTATGTCTAGTGGTGACGTGAATATAAGCATGTTGCTTGAGTGCGTCACCACTATGTATTGTATTTTTGCATGTTGAAATTTAAAAAAGAAACATGTACGGAAAAAATATGGAAATATAATGGTATAAGAGACTACGTCTAACATTATACTGCATTCTACAACATACATGGTACTAGTTTTGCTGGGTTTGACTTCTTCTTTTGAGGCAGTGGAAGACGAATTTACCCACTTCTTCTATAATATGTGGGTTCTTTGATAATAATAGGATTTGATTCTGAAATACTTGAGAAATAACATCGTGCAGTATTATATGTGACGTCCTGTGTAGTGTGGTATTTGTCTGTCATATGACCGATATGACCTGGGCTTGATGTAAATTTCTTGTTTTAGAATAAAGAATTATTTTACTCAATTATTTGCTTAAATCTGGCCGGGTAGATAACGTGAATTATCAGCGGGACCTGATTATGTAAATAACCCTAAGCCATGCAGATGCCCTAAATCTTCGTGTATTATATATATCAGCCCCTAACATAAGTCGATAAAGTATGGCAGCACGGTATGCTAAGTTATCGACGGCAATCCATCACAGAACAGTAAAGGGAAACGCGTTTCTCTGTTTTACGACACATCTCGGTTGAGTCTGTTCGTTCATGCAGGCCTTGGAAATATAATAGATGACGTTGCTAACTATGCCATCAGCGCGATGACAGACGGCAAGTTGTAGCTAGGCTTGTGGTACCGAGCTTCAAACAAATGAAGCGTCTGTCAACTTCCCAACCTCGGCTCCTACTAGGTCGCACTTACACAATTTCATTATTCGTCCACTGGATTCTCTACCGTGCACTTAAGTTAATTACTTTCCCAGGCAACAGGTCCCAAGTCTGACCTCAAACGCTTTCTCTACGAGAAAACAATTTTCCCACCAGAGCTGAGAAATAATTCTTCCAGCTAGTTCGGATGATGTGAGGACCAGGTTATCGACTGAGACAAATCGTTCCGAGGGAGTCCCGATTTCCAAAGACGTGGGGGCGAAATATTATTAAAAACATTTAAAAAAATCTTCCTAAGGGAAATAACCGACCTACACTGAGTTAATCAGGCACGGGAGCCTTTAAGAGCCGTGGAAAGCCTTCCCTCAATGAAATTGATGAAATTAAATCAGACTGCTGAACGAATGTTTACAGTGAATTCCTGTAAGTACATACGTCAAACCTTACCTTGGGATGTCAGAAAGCAGAAACTAGAAGTAAGGCTGTTGTAGACAAAGTTCAGAAGAACGTGGTAAACAGCTAGCTATCTACTAGCGGCTGTATATTGCATGCAACCCAATGGCCGGGTGACATATGAACTACACCCGATGTGCAGTGCACTAAGATGAAGGTCAATAATTACCAGCGTAGCCTGTCTATCCTCTCATTCCTAGGATGCGTGTTTTCGTGATAGAGCAAGGGTGAAATCTTACCTGGATCGCTTGCAGCGAGAGGTATGGTCAGAAGGATGGCCAGGTAGACGAGCAGCCGTCTTCTTCTCCGGTCCATGGCGCCCGCTCCGCCGCCGCTGCCGGCTACACAGCTACCGGCGCTGCAACCTGCACGGACGGGATGCACAATGTCTGATAAAAGGGGATTAAGAATAACGGCAGCCAGGGCCCCACACCGGCGGGGCCTTTTCATAATGCACACAGCATTTGCAATCAGATCGCCCCAAAGAAATCCGCTGGTCTCTTTGCATATTTTGAGCGTCCCTGGAGATGGCAACGTCCGGTCTAGTTGGGCCAAAGTAGCCTACCAGACCACGAGTTTCTAGCGCTGATTAATACATAAGGCTAGCTCCACACACGTCACACCATCTATTTACGACTACGAACCAGAGAACTCCCCTCAGCCTACCCCTGACAGCCTTCAACAATATCTGCGGAAGATTATAGCGGTGGAAACTTGTAAAGCCGCACATCTGGCCGCCGCTCCTACAGCTCTCCTTTTGCTGTCTGCCGCTACTGCAACAGGCCGCAACGCGCATAACAGAGGATCTCCCATAGGGCTATCGACGGCAGAGCTATGGATCGAAGACATGGGAGCTCACATCCCTGTCAGATCTACTTTGATGCGCTTTGAAGGATGGTACCAGGCGGGGGAGTTTAGCTCTTTCCCCGCCTGCGGACGTGCCTGAGTGCCGATCTTAGAACTGATGATGAATGTTAATGGAGCTGCAGTTATCCTTGGCGGTATCAATCCACTCGTGGACAACCATAAAACTTTCTTATGCCCGATTCCATCTCTGCACAGCGCTGATCACCTGGATAAATCTGCCTCTTTATTCTAATCCATTTCCATATAATTACACACTGCCTTTATTAATATTGATATAAACGAATAGACTTGAAACTTAATATTTTCTAGTTTCTTGAGAAACTGGTTCTCTTCATACTCTGTGATCACATTAGTCACTCATATCTAGAAATATAATTCAAGCCTGATAATACTGGGTAAAGATTATGAAACAATATAAGGATCTTTTTGTACAAGGCCGAATAAATCAATGGTCAAGCATGTCGACATTATTATCTGAACCATTTCCTTTGATTTAAAAATGGGCCAGGGGTCAGGAAAAGGACAGGCTATTGTCATTTTGCCCACCGTTTAGACTTATTTTTAGTTCTTCACGCTTAGTTGAAAGCTCATAAAACATGACTACATCGATCCACACTTACTATTTATTCCATATCTGAGATGGAAGAACGCTCCAGGATTCATGACCCACTAAAACGGGACATTCGGGGGATTTAGGGTTGTTAGTCATCACTGTTTGCAATTCAGGGTTTGAAATGATTTCCACTGAGAATAAAAACTATAAATGGCAGAGATTTGCCTTAGAATCCTTATTTATGGGGGATCAAAAATAACCAAAACAAAATATATCATATCCCCGTTTGTCGTATTAACAAGCACTAAAATATCAATTGTCATACTACATGTGGTACTTAAAACACAATTTGTGTCCATGAAAGGTCAAATTTAGCCTTACTGGTTTTTAGATCCTCGTTTTTCTTTCGCAGGTTGCATAATGTTGCAAGTGATATTTAAAAAACTAACAAAACGACGTAACATGATGCATGATGCAATATATATAATATTTTCTGTAACTGTTACAAAAGTTAACCATGAGATTAGGGGAAATGTTGTGACAACAGGGAGAGACAGCCTACATTTATTTGCTAATGTTGACCTTTGCAGTCACTGTCACCAGCATGGGTTGTTATACTGCCGGCATCAGAAGAAATTGAAGCGACGGTAATAGCCGAGACAAAAATGGCTCTGGTGATTTCGGCAAACAGTAAGGGCTATTTATTTGACCGGTGGGAGCAGCTTTAGTAGATGTTGCACTTAATCACACCAAGAAAACTTCAAATGGTCGTTGGTACAGGGGAAGACCACTCCGTCTTTCATTACACCCCCTTTCCACTCTAGTCTACGACCACGATGCGACCGCAGTGCGACCGCCGTATGACCGCAGTACGACCGCTGCGCGACCACAGTACGACCGCAGTACGACCGCTATCAATCAAAGATTTGACAGATTGCTCAACGATTTCATAAAGAACGATTTTTAAATGCCTTTTGCATGTTTTTGCATGATATTAAATCATGCTCGCATCATATTCCAGTTATATGAAATCATGGGCCACAAAAATCCAATTTTTGTCGCCTCACAGTCGCAAAGTGATCGGTGTCTGGTGGGCAACCCGTGGGAGTTAGCGATGGGAGGAAATTATTTCCGACTGTTCCTGTGTCCTTTGCCGGACGAGGGCGTGGTTACGCCCGCCACACTACAGCGGCGTGTCCGGTTGACTTTGAGAAACTAATATAACGTTAGGATCAGACAAGGCACGGCTCCGCCCGTACACACACACACGGGCATGCATATCTGGTTCGCCTCACGTACGGGCCTAGTGAGGACTATCTGCCACGCGAAAAAAGAAATACAGCTCACGCCTGGCTGGCATTTCGATATATCTCTGTTGATGCTGAGGCAGACGTGGTGTATGGTGTTGGACAGCATTCGTTTCACGTCAATTGAACAGAGATTTGGCGCCGTGTCAGGTCTGCTGCTGACTGAAAAACTCATTGGAAAATATTTCGGATAATTCGGACTCGTAAGTCTTTCCACACAGGCCCCCGGGGACGAATAACCCTTAACGGCTGGCGTGCCGGTGAAAAATAGCTACCTTGCGATTTAGCAGTCTGGTTAAAGATAAGCGTATTAAAGGTGGGCTTACTTATTGATACTGGCGCGGCAGGAAATTATCGTAACGGTACATGTACATGTCGTCTAATTGTATTGTCCGTTCCAAATAACGTGGGCACCTCTCTTATAGATTAATTTTTTTTGCTAAATCTGGGTTTTGCATTTGTGATTTGAGCCGATACAAGAATGCCTGTGTGAAATTATTACACTCTTACAATAGATTTAATTTCATTTTTTGCTGTATATATATAGATGAGTGCCAGATATATACGGCATGCATTCTCACTGAAATTACATTTTAAAAATCAATAAATCTTAAAGAATATACCAAAAGGTACAAAATTATACATCATGTCAAATTGAGGTGGAAGAAGATATGATGTTAAGGTTACAATATTGTTTCTCTTTATGTTATTAATAAGTTACTTTGATTTTGTATCAATTTGTAATCTGCGTAACTTTATTTGATACCTTTGTTAATCTTGAGTTCAATTTGTTAATGGATTTTGTTTGGGGTTTTCTCCCTCCCAGGAACCATTGAAAAACGCCATCAGGTGATATGTATTTCCTGGTAAATAAATAAACAAACAAACAAACATATCGGCGCATGACCATATAATGTCATGTAGTTTTGTTGCGGTTATCCCCCCCAGGAATCTTTGAAAACTGCCAATAGGCGACATGTATTTCCTGGTTAAATAAATAAATAAACAAACAAATAAACAAATAAATAAACAAACAAGAATCCTACCTTGTGTTCACTATGGGTAGCCACTGTCCGTTTGAAGCGCGAAAGGTGGCGGCCACACGCCGCTATATAACCCTCCCAATAACTCCTCCCTAGCCGTATCGCAAGACGAATTGTCCTCATATGTGCCTATCGGGTGTCGTTAAGGCCGGGGTGAGAGGAAGACGGACGGGGATTTCTCCGGTTCCGCCTCGCTGTTTACCCCCGCGCAGCCGTACCGATACAGGCCGGCGAGAACCCATGCATTATGCCGGCTGTAAAGGTGACCGGTGACGGTCGGTTCACACAGATGGGTCGTACGTTCTTCGTCGTGGCGAGAAAATGTCATAAAACAAAGAGGTGAACAATCCCCTCTCCAAGAACCTCCTGGTCTTAATGGCTATGCACACGCCACAACACAGCCTCTAGCTGAAGTAGTTATCTCCCAACTCGTGAAATATGGCATTAAAAAACGCAATATTGGTGGAATAAACTACATTAACGATGGTCTAGGTGTGAATAATAAACTAGGATATTGTAGGACCGAATTAGCTACAAATTTACTATTTCTATAGAGTACGTTTTGCACCCTGGTGACAGCGTTCTTTCACATTTCTTCCAAACCGGAAAGTGAAGCAACCTTTTGCCCTTTTGGTGAAAGGACAGCCTGGTCTTGTTTTCCGTCAAGGAACCACGCTTGAGAACGGAGGGATCCGTTGTTTTTTTAGACAGCCTTTGGCGACCATATGGAAAAACACATATAATCTGAGTAGCCACCTTGTAAAAGGGCCCGTTGACTTAGTGTGCGAATCAATTTATGTTTTCAGTGTGTCAGTAATGGATTGGGGAAAAAAAGAGACAACTGCACACGAATTCTGATCAAAATTTGGCTCCAGTGGTATGTTAAAAATACAAGCGTACCTAACGCTATGTATATGTGAAAGAAGGCTTACCTATAGCGATTCTCTGAGAGGTTTACACGCCACGGGGTCCGTGTAATGTAGCGGCATTCAGTCCGCCGGAATGGCAAAGGTACTTCCCGTGCTAGCGGCAGGGCTTCCCGGTCTGAACTAAAGAGGCAGCGCTCTCTCAGCAGTCCTTTACAGAACGTCAGAAATCGGATGACTGTCTCCGTGAGCCAGGCAGGGAGGTCCTGGAAAAACCCTGCTCGGCTACAACCTTACTTTAAATAGCAACAACACGACACTGTCTAATTGGTCGTTATGGTAACGTCTTTCACGCGGTGACTACGGGTTCCTCTCGATAGGAAAAAACGTACAGAAAGACAATGATGGCAGCTCAAAGTTTCTTGTGTTCTCTGATGAAGATGACACCGCGAGGGAGATGTGTAGTCCGCCTGGAGTCCCCACATGAAAGTCCTGTGCGGAGCGGCGGACAGATAGGTCTGCACCCGCCAGGTGATGCGCGCAGATAGACCTCCACACGGGCTCCGCCGCGCAGTGAGAGAGGTTAGGTTTTCATCAGCAAGCGGAGGAAGCTCATCAGCATGGCCGGCACGTCCGCCGGCCTGCCTCCTGACTGTGGGGCCCCTCTTGTCGAAACATTAATAAATTTAGAGCGTCGGCTAAATTGGCCGGATAATGAAACGAGAGGAGATGGATCTGACGGCTTGACAAGATTGAAAGTAGCGGGCGCAGCAACCTCCAAATCTTCTGAAGACACCGGGGTTCATGCCGCTCAACACGGGCTGATCCTAGCGACTATACCGGCGATAGTTACCGCCTCACAAGGGAAGCTGGCGGTAAAGGTTCTGAGAAATCCGGGTTGAATACGGTCTGATCTGCACCGTGTCCGTCTTTTAGAAGCTTCCCGCACAGGTCCACAGCTGTGTGACCGGCAAACCGCGCACGCAACGTCTGGGCTAGCGAAAAGTTAAGGCACGGCAAACACGCCGTGACGGTTTGCCCCCTTTACGGGTCAGCGTGCGTCAACGTAAATAGCCTGCCACCTTTCTAATCGTGACGGATTGACATGTGACCCCCGTCTTTTGACTTCAGCACAATGTTCGCCATTGTTTGCCGCTGACACAATTATTCTCTGCCCCCCTCATTTTGCCTGCCAACATTCATGAAGGTCCGCAGACATGAGGGTGAATAGAAGTGGACGTCAAGTCACACAGTAACAGGCAACAGGCGACTGGACCGGAATGCGGTAGGGACTTCAAACCGTGAGAGCTATACACCATCCATCCAAACCCTGCCATTTACACTACAAGACGGACTGTCGCGATGCCAAATTTAATATTCCTCATATCACAAAACGCTTCCAAGTGTGAGCTATTGTCATAAAACACAGGGGTAATAGCTGGTCTGTTATATAGGAAGATGTCCTTTAATGGGCCATTGCGTCATATACGTGGTGGCAAATGAGTTGTTTCCGTTAAGCCTCCAATCCATAAATTTGTATGTTGTTCTCGTGGCATTTTAAACTCCTATTCAACAATTGATAGGCCTTTTTTTACTATCCAGTCGTTACACCATGACGGGATTTGCTGTTCACTAATTCAAATATCCCTTTTTCTTTAAGACGTGTTTATTGGGCTGTGAATTGAAAGCCCCTGACCGAGACGTTTACGTTCTTTAGGTTGTACATTTACGGCTGTGAGATGGCGGACCCGATAACCTCTCTCTCTCGCCTCGGTTGTTACGACCTAGCTCCGCTCAGTGTGTCCCGATGTCCGTTTTACTGATTTGGGAATAATTAGTTAGGCCACAGCAAGTAAATTTTATGGATGACATCAGCTTGTGCATTTATTTTCGCCTGATTTAAAAAAAAAGAAGAAATTTTGTTGCCTTCTAACAGTGGTCAATTAACACGACGAAAATGGGCAATGGATTCTGTGTGTTTGTTTATTTTCAACAGTTTTGTCACGATTATTGTTATTTGATTCATGTTCATGTTCATGAATCAGTTCGTCTTGTTTTCACACGTTCTTGCTTCTTTTATTACACCTTGTGTACCTTTACTACACTTTTGTTTTTTCTGATGTTTATGTATTTGAATTTGAATAAAAATTGTTAAAAAATAAAGTCAATATTCCAGTCACCTATCTACATGCAACACTATCCCAATGTATATCGACACTAGTGGAGAAAAATGACGAAAATCGTAACAGAAAACTGTTACTGGTAGTATCCTGGGCTTATTTTGGGGTACCACCAAGAAATAAAGGAGTCATCTTGGGGATTGTTCTGTACTATTTTAAATACCCTGTGTATGGATACTAATGCAAATGTGCTAATGTGTAGCATTATGTGTAAATATCATACAGATCGCCCTATTCAGTTTTGCCTCCCTGAAATTACATCGAATGCCTTTAAACATTGAAGTAGTCACCACATTGAAAATAAATGACGTTACAAAACGTCAGATATAAACGCCGCAGCGCTCCGGCGCACAGATTCGCTTAATCTTCCCCTGCCTATCACCATCAGTATATCAGACCGTACTCGGGCCTAGTTTGTCACTCACGTGAGATGTATCCAGGGATATTTACGCCTCCCAAAAGGGTGTCTCAGGTAGTAATTGTACCAAGGGCATTGGATCATGAAACTGGATGAGGATGAAATAAACCTTGCTCTGGAAAATGGTCCGGCCGTTAAAAAAACCGGCGTGGTTTATTGGAGCGACCTCGCGGGACGTGATTAACTAAATAAGGGAAGCGCGAGAAGCGAAGGTCATCCCGGCAACTTTGGGACCTTCCCAGGTCGGACGTCACTGGTGCGCGATTTGGTGACATTTATTGTGAAATCAAGTTGCCATGCGACGCCACCCCGTGCCAGGGATTGTTCGCCAAACCCTGTAATCTGAGTGGCAAATAATATTCTCAGCGTTAAGCCAGTCAGTTCTGGCTTAGGCCACAGCAAGTAATTTTTATGGATGGCATCAGAGCGCGCGCATTAATTTTCGCCTGAATTTTGAAAAAAAAAAAAAGAAGAAATTTTGTTGCCTTCTGACAGTGTTCAACATGCCGAAAATTGGCAAAGATGTCTGTTGCCATGCCGGAAGGTGGATGGCAGATAACTATGAAGACAGGAGACAAGAAAAGACTCTGATTCAATGTTTTGCTTCTTACCTTGATGCAGTGATATGTGATGTTGGCTGTGTATATGTGATGTTCCTACTGAATCAAAACCATTTGTACAATGATTGAGTCAAAATTTTAAATTGTAGGAACCTTGTTTTTTTTTGCCCGCCTTGTTTTTTTTCGCCCGCTCGCATTAGAGTTGGAGTCTGCGGAGGATGTCATCCATAAAATTTACTTGCTGTGGCCTTATGCATCACAAGGGAGTGGGGAGACACTGGGACAGGGGGCGGGAATTCGATGGGGGGTCTGGGGCTAGCCTGAGGTGGTGCTGAATAGAGACCCTCGGAATAACAGTAGGATCTTAGCAGGGTGCAAGAAGATACAGAAAATGCAGCAAATTTAGTCTGGGGACGCTTTTTTGTGGCATGGAAGAACAATATCACAAAAGAAACAAAAACATTTTAATGGACAAAGATGAACTCACTAATAGGGTAGTGCTGCTTACTATGATTTAACCTCAATATACCCGCTTTTTATTATAATAAACAGCATACGTGTCAAGTTATATGTTTCACTACATCAATCACCTTACTAATGTATACCTGTCTTGTCAACCAACAAAAGACATGATATTTAATTATGGAAAATCAATTTATTTTCCAGGTGGACACGAGGGCACCGTGCAATTTTGCTTCACCAGACCGACATGGTATCAACCTTTTACAGGTATGTAAAAATGCATGGATACGGTTCCCAGGGGACTTGGTAACGCCCCTCTTTGCAACCTTCCACGTGAAACCATAATTGGGAAAAATGAAGCAGGCCTTTGCAATATAAACTCCAACCGTATCAAACTTCTCAATGTCAGCTGTGACTGGACGTATTATATAATACATGTAAAATACTGTACAGTATGTGCGCGACGAATCAGAACTATTTCAATATGTTAGATCGTATAGATAAATTCAACGAGATAACCAATACAGTAGTCAAATATAAAAATACATTTAAGAATGTCTCAATCTTATGGACTACATGTTAGAGAATAGTTAAATCTTTATTTTACCACTGATATATATTATGTATGTAATTTGCCACATACATATATTCTGTACGTAGGATGACGTTATCCATACATGTATTTACTAATAGCTTTGTTAGATCTTTAGCTGTAGACGACGATACAAAAGTCCCTGTCGTCTGTAAAAGTAGAACTTATTAACGGCAATAAAAGATTTAACCAAAAGATTTAACCAAGGAACAAAACATCCTTGTTAGCTGACATTACATTCCAGATACAACCTATTATAACTGAATCACAAGAGATTCATTATGTGATTATAACTGAATCACAAGAACATCAGTCGACCTAGAAAAAATTAGTCTTTTCCTCAAAATGTCCTGCAAACGCTTTTTAGAAATACATGACTGCGTGAGTGATTATCGTTGCCACACACATATACAATTTTCGCAGGAATTGAGTTTATTTTTAGCTAGATTAGACAGACTATAAGATCTAAAAAAAATACAAAAGAGAAATGCCTCTCATATTTTCCTAATTTGTTTTAATACAATCCTGTCGGCAGAGTCAGTTGTGCTTTTTAGCACAAAGTATATACAAGTACATGTAGAGCTCTGTCCGACTGCACACGTAATCAAGATAAATAACTCCACCGTGTCATAATCCCACAAGCTATAATTCCTATCCAACTACCTTATTATACGGCCATATCAGTGATGAATGACCCCATTGAGGAAGACGTATTAGCACCATCAGGCGGGATAAGGCGAAGAAACGTTTTGTCAAGGACGACGCATGTGACCCTACTGGGGCGTGGTTATCCTGTAATTAATAATAAATTAGGATGAGCTCATGGATCTGCTTGATGACTACAGAGGATGCAAATATTTTCCTCGAAATGTCCTGCAAACGCTTTTTCAAAATACATGACTGCATGAGTGATTATCATTGCCACACACACATGTATACAATTTTTACAGGAATTGAGTCCTTTTTTTGTAAGATTATACAGACTACAAGAAAGAGAAAAAAAGGGAATATGTCTCATGTTTTCCTAATTTGTTTTTTAATGCTATCTTGTGCTGTCGGCAGAGTCAGTTGTGTTTTTTAGCATACAGAACTAATCTCCAAGCACATCCCTCTCGGTGACAGTATCAAATTGGCCAGGCAGTATCCATTAGCCAGAGAAGGTTGCCAGCCACCGACGGGGTACCGACCCCCCCAAAAAACGGCCATATATAAAAAGGTAACGATCATTCCCCCACAACCTCTGCTTGGAGAGTAACAGAACCTCCATTTGATGTAAAACTAACCGGCTGACTGAAGAAGACATTGTGTTCAGCGTAGTTTCAATACTCCCTGTAGATGTATGAGATTCTGATATACTGAAAGGTACTTCAGTCAGCTTTTCGTCGTCAAGAACTCCCTTTCAGCTTGCTCGGCGGGTATTCACCCCAGGCTACGGGAGATGTGGCACATTACAATACACTAACGGGGTGTTATTGATGGCATGCCACAACAGGGGTGGGTACGCATATAATATGGTTTTGTTCAGCCCTATTGGATCGCTTCAGACTTTTTGACCCACGGAGGTCGCCCAAGCCACGGGGGTGCCATCGGGCGAATGATCTAACTATACCGGGTGTGAAATGAAACTGCTGCCCTTTGTCATGTCAGCTTTTGTTGGACCATCATACGAGACCTGGCCAGATATTTCACGTAGGGGTCGGGGGTGAAATCGGAGAACGACCACATTTCTGGTACTCAAGAGAAAAGCAAACGACTCTCTTTACTGCCGAAGCGGCACACGCTGCCATTGCCAACGACATCCGCCCGGCGTAATTCCTCACGATATAACTTTTGTCCAATCGATGTTTATTAGATTTCGCAGCACATCTGGCGGGTGCGGCAGTTATATTTAATACGGCTACAGTAATAGATGGCAAACACATTGGAAATGGCATCCATAATAGATGAAGAAGTGAGGTAAAGCGATGCTAAATTAGAAGCTGCGAAAATTATCCCTGACATTTACGTTTCGTATCAGGTACCTCGTTACGTGACAAGCACTTGGACGAATACTCCTCGCTACTGCCCTCTTGTAATACATGCTGTACAGACTATGATTACTCCGGGGAACACCGTACATTTGTCTCTGTCGTCTGCAAAATACCGTCGCGCAAGAAACCACTCATCTTCTTTAGCAGACCTTCATTCTGACTTCTGATTCGCGTTTTTTCTCCTGTGAGTACTACATGGTACTACTGAATGTGGAATTCAATGGTTCTTGCTAATGTATTGATCATTATTTAAAACTAGAAAAGTAAGATTTACAAAGCAACTGCATAATGTTTACCTTCGCATGTGGTCTACTCTGTTAATTCTTACTCTTGAAAACGCATTCATGTGTATATGGTGACAGGAGTCTAAATCCCTCCTAATATGAAATTGCAACATTGTGTTACCCAACACCAGTTACCATGGTGACAGACGTCAACAAATCAGGACATTAGCCAGGTCAGAGGTCACTGTTTTGAGAAGAAGAGGAAGAAACTGAGTAAAAACAATATGTTTTCCTTCGGTAAACATAATTATGCCACCAATGGGCTTTAGCAACATAACATAAAACAGAATCAGTTCAAAACAGAATATAGCCTGTAATATTAACAACAAAAATCAAATCAATGTAGCAGAATAAACAACAGTTAACAATGAAATAAGTTGAACTTAAAAACATGTAACAATGATCAAATGTAATCAAATTATCATATCAAATCAAACACGTCTATGTCAGGTATCTCCGCTGTTTTTTCGATACATGACCTCCTTGACAGCTGGCAGCTAGCGTTGTTATGTATATCTTTATAAGGCCATGTTGATTTGAGTATATAGATGACATCCTCTGGGAACCCAAAACTGGTTTTACCAAACAATTTTTTCACGTGCAAATTAAAACATTTGGCAAAAAATGTTGCATTCATTATGAAATCTACGTTGTCATGTAGGTTGAACAAATTATGACGGCGTATGGATGGTGAATAATATTAATAGACTCTTCATTTTCATTTCTTCACATTTCTTCCTTCCTTTGGAATTGATTATGACATTCTACGATATTACTATTGTTTTTATTATTCAATTTACGGCATACATGACGATATATATTTGCTCATTTTGCAGCTGCTTTGTACGATTTACAGTATGGTCAAAAACTTTTGTAAACAGGCGAAAATTCATACACGCGGATGTCATCCATATAATGAAATCAACATGGCCTAATGTTTAAAAAGTATAGCTTCTCTTTCTTTATTCTGTTCTTTTTTGTGTTACGTAAGTCCTATATTAATGAAGATGCTGAAATTATACATCAGATTGACGCAAATCCAGTCAGAATATGATTGAATTACACTGTTATAGGTCATATCAATAATTGAATCATAGTATCTGTATAAACTTATTTGTCACAGACGGTTTTCGTTATTGCTTGAATCGTTTTGCTTGAAGACGAAATGAACTGTTTTGGCACATTTTGGCACAGTGAGTCTGGTGGTATTTGTATCAAATCTGAGAAGTACGTTTGGCCTTTCCACCACAGAACCGGTCACATATATATGATAATTGTAACCTTCGTATCTCTGTTCTTGGTACTGTAGTGCAGTGCTTCCGAACTGTTTGTATTATGCTTACTGTGAAACGCTTGCAGACGTTCAATGTTAGCATTGCTGAAACCTCCGTCACACATTCAGAACCTTCTCCCGAACACCAACCGACCAAGGTTGGTCGAACGTCGGGATCAGTCTGGCCAGATGTAGGAATCGAATTTGAGTTAAATTTGAGTCAATTTTTACTGCCAATCACATCCCAACCTACTCCCGAACACCAGCCAAGCGTCAGCCAACTATGGTGGCACATCCCGTCCAAACTTGAGTGTTTTAGACAGTTTGAAACATTTGGCTTGTGCAAACGACCAGAAGCCGATCTTTCCATGGTTGGGAGGAGTTCGGCTAGTGTTCGGGGTCCCATATTCGCCTACATATTGAAAGTTTATTGCAAATTCATGCCCGAGGGCTAATTGCAAGAACATGATAACAAACTAAACAGTACAAATGATCATGAGTAATGCTAATGCTACTTTGAATATAGTTATTATTGGGTTTGATTTCTTTTCCGTGTGCAGTGGAGTATGAAATGGCCGACATTTTGCGAGATGTATGAATTGGGAGGTGTTAATAGAAATGCAGTTTTTTTGTAGGCTGGGAAGGTGAATAAAGCTAGGGAACATTTTGGTGACCATTCCAAATAATGTATCCCTTTCGGTGCTATCATGAGGGCAATAACAAATAAAGTGCATCTGTCAGTGCATGGTATTTATGTATGACAGGGACTTAATGTTTGTGATTCTCAATGACAATGACGTTATAATAATAATGATAATAATAATAATAAATGGTTTATTGGCCAAACATCAGCCTTATAGTGCTGAATTGATGCAGGGTTTACAATCAGATGATACAAATGGTAATAATACACATAATAATACATCATATAATAACGATAATACATAACATGATACATATTTGTTCCACATTTTTTGTGGAACTGCCGCAAGGGTCTGTGCGACTGCCATTCGTTGCCACAAGGTGACTTCAATACGGCTTCCTCCAACCGAAGTTAGGTACCCATTCAATACCCATTGGGTGGAGTG